GGACTTGGGGGTACTGGTGGATGAAAAGCTGGACGTGAGCCAGCAATGTGCGCTCGCAGCCCAGGAGGCCAACCGTATCCTGGGCTGCATCAAAAGAAGCGTGGCCAGCAGGTCGAGGGAGGTGATTCTGCCCCTCTACTCTGCTCCAGTGAGACCCCACCTGCAGTACTGCGTCCAGCTCTGGAGCCCTCAGCAGAAGAAAGACACGGACCTGTTGGAGTGGGTCCAGAAGAGGGCCACGAAAATGATCAGGGGGATGGACACCTCTCCTGTGAAGAAAGGCTGAGAGAGTTGGGGTTGTTCCGCCTGGAGAAGAGGAGACTTTGGGGAGACCTTATTGAGGACTTTCAGTACTTAAAGGGGGCTTATAAAAAAGATGGCAGCAAACTTTTTAGCAGGGCCTGTTGCGACAGGACAAGGGGGAATGGCTTCAAACTAAAGGGGGGTAGATTTAGACTAGATCTAAGGAAGCAATTTTTTATGCTGAGGGTGGTGAAGCACTGGAAGAGGTTGCCCAGAGAGGTGGTGGATGCCCCATCCCTGGAAACATTCAAGGTGAGGTTGGACGGGGCTCTGAGCAACCTGATCTAGTTGAAGATGTCCCTGCCTGTGGCAGGGGGGGTGGACTAGATGACCTTTAGAGGTCCCTTCCAACCCAAATGATACTATGATTCTGTGATTCTATGATTCATAGTCTTGGTATCTATGTCCCAACACATGTTAGGATGGCATTTCAATAATTAAATATGCATAATGACTTACATATAGTGTCCCATGCCTTTTTTGGAATTTCTTTGATTCTAAACCAGCCTTTAAGATCACTGCTAACCATCCTGGTTAGTCCATACAGACTCCTCGAAAGCATGCTTTTCGCATACACTTATCTGTGTGTACAAATTACATTATATAAGGTTGAGCAAATAAGCATTGTATGTAGCAACTCAATGCCCTACCTGCATGGGTGATAAAATCTGTCTCCTGTTCATCCCCAGTCTCTACAATTGCACAAATAGAAATGTTGAAAATGTGAGCGTATTAGGAGTCCTATCTATTTCTTTGTTAGTTGTAACTCATAACCTTAAAAATTCAAAATCCATTGTGTGAGTGCCTGGAGACAAGGCAGATCAAATGCATATTGATGCACAAATGAGAAAAAAGACTCTCCTTGCTGTGCTTCTGCTTTCCTTCCTTCTTCCATGAAAGCATCTTAGGGGATTTGCAGGCCATGTGGTGCTGGTGCTCGGCAGAACATTCCCCATGGCTCTGGCAGCAGCGTGATGGCTCAGTTCAATTTCTAGCAACTGCCAAGGCCACACAGAAACGCCAGAAAACAAAAGCACAGACTTGACTGAAATGCCTGTATTACAAAAAGAAAATGAAAAGCAAACCACGACCCCTCTGCAGTTGAAAGGAAGGATAAAACAAAAAGAAAGGATGAGCTAACATGTAAGCTGCAACAAACCAGAGGAAACTCTACCTCAAGGAACCCTTTCAGGAGCAGAGGGAAGAGGAGAGGAAATGAACAGGGGAGGCACTTCCCAGCAGTGAAGGAACTAAATGTAGCTTCAGCTCAAACCTTTCCCAGAAATGCCTAGAACAAATTTACCACATAGTCCAAATGACTGAGAACAGGGAGCGATGCCATCGAGACAAAATTATGCAAGCCCTTCAATCCAATAAGCATTCATTGGATGTGGAGTGTATCACTGTCATTTTACAATTCTGAATCACATAAATACACCCCAATTATTAATGGTGATTGTTAGCAGCTCCATTTTAATTGGCTCACATGCGCTAAGAGCAGAACTGATGTATCATTTAATTTTTTATTAGGCCAGTAATCTTTATTAATACAGTGAAAATTTAAGTGCACTGAGAATTGATTGAACGCTCTCAAAAAAATTATACTTGGAGTAGGTATTTCACATGAAACTTTAAAAATACACAATTAAAATCTATTCCCCTCATTATTCTTTCCTGTGTCTTTTGCTGGGTGATACGAAAATGAAGGCAGGGTTGTTGAGAACTAATTACCTTTCATCCTTTTTTTCAGTTAACGTGACCCTTTGTACCGTGGGGCTCAGTGCTGGGTTTCTGCATCTGGTTGTGTGTATGAAATGCTAGTGTTTTACCTCATCTATAGCAATTTTTATTGTATCGAAATAAGAAAAATAGCCTGGAACTGGGCTTGTCCAAGTTTTAGAAGAATACTTCTCTGAGCGCTGGTGAAGGCTCAAAGGTTCTTGGAGCCAACCGCTCAAACTGATGCTCCCATCATTGCCCAAGCTGCTCTTTTCTTGGCTAAGCAAATGCAGCTCCTAAAACCTTTCCTCAAGGTGACGTTTTTTTACATTTTCTCCAGTTCCTGTTGCTTTCCCATCTGTCTAAATCTTTCTTAGAACACGGTGAATAGACTCGATTCCAGTCCTCCAGAAGGAGAAAAAGAGCAGAGTAGCTCTCCCATGTGCCTTACAAGCATGAGGATTGCCCCTCCTTGCGGTGTTTTGTGCTGTGCTGGGAAGTTTTCCATCCCTTGTTTTTGTGTGTGAGGTATGCAGTATTTAAGAGTGACAATGTTTACATTTGTCTAATGTAATATGGCAACAACAGTGACTTCTAAAATATTTCCCACGGAAAAATACAAATGTCAACTCGACTGTATCTCCATTCAGCATCTACCTTTTCTTTTCTTTAAATGAGGATCAAAGTAGTGGCCAGAATGTCAAAATGTGCACCTGCTTTCTATATATTACACACAGAGAATTTGTGCGCATCTCCATGCATGTACACAGACTTCGGTTATGTAGTTTCTGTGTATGTCATTGACAGGGGAAGTTTTTTAAGAAATCCTCCTCATTCTGGATGTGTCTAAAGGATTTTTAAATGGCCCAACTAAGGTACTCAAGGAGAAATGTGCATGTATTTGCAAAATAAATTTGGGGTTTTCCTCTTTTTGGTGGCAGTGGGCAAAAGGACTGGACTCCTTTTCAGTCCAGTCTTCCAGATAAATATACATGGTAGCAGTGGTACATAACTGGTATAACTGATAGTCACAGATTAATTATTACTCAGTTGCTTCAGTCTCAAAAATGAGATTGTCCTTTTAAGAATAAGTTACAGTGTGGAGTGTTTGCAGAAGGCATGCAGGCAGCACAAGAAACCTCCATGGGTAAGCACAGTTTCAGTACAAATTTGTTAAGTACTTCTCAGTTTTATGCACTTTGAGCCCTAGTGTGTGACCTTCTCTACAACAGTGTCATTGTGTCAAAGTAAGAACAAACATTGGAATAGAGCGTGCCTGAGTTTTCAAGAAATATTGCTCCAAAGCCCGTGAGAGACTCATACAGAAATAATTTCCTCTTAATACAGTTGATCTCTCTTGCCCTGGTAGGAGGGAAGAAGCAGTCAGACCAAGTTTTGAACTTCTCAGACTTTTTTCCCTCAGTTTCTTTGCATGAAAATCTTCCATACAGACCTACTTTTCATAATTAAGCAGAATATTTCAAACTTTGCTGCTTCTAAAGCTGTTCGCAAAAAGAATAGTTCGTTCCAGGATGCGGCTCTCTACCCTGTAAAAAGTAAGTTCCACCAGTTTTATATAACTAATGGTCAGTCTCAAGCCCTTCAGTTTCTAACTAAGAGAGCTAAACTCCTCACCCCCGTGATGTTGGAAGCTCTATTCCACAGCCTGGTTTAACGTGAAATGTTGCTGCTTGGTTTTGCAGATCCGAAACGTGGCAGCCAACCTCTGTGTGGACAGTAAACACGGAGCCACAGGGACTGAGCTGAGGCTAGACATCTGTGTGAAGGACGGCTCAGAACGGACGTGGTCACACGAACAGGTATTTTATCGGTGGAAAGAGAAATGCAGTGTAAAATTGTTGCTTCTCTTTTCCAGTTTCCAAACATTTCTCTGAGGGCTGCTCCTTTTCCTAAGGCAAAGCAGGGTGTAGAAATAATTTGTGAATGATTGCTGACCTTAATGGCTTTTACAAAGTGCTCTTTAACATAACCTCAGAAATTCCAACCACCACCTGGGCTGTATAGTCTTCTTAATCTCCCAAAGGAATTGCAATGCCCAAAGAGCTTTTGGGTGCCCCTTTCTCCCCCGCTGTGTCATGAAAACATGTTGATTTTGGTTCAGTTACTGGAAAATATTTTAAATATAGTACCTGGGCTTGTAAAGCTCCAGTGGTTGTCTGCTTTCATCTCAATAAGCTCAATAAACGGTTATATTTTAAATTAATATGAGATATAAGCGAGATAAATGGGTAAAAGCTAGAAAGGAAGAGTTTCACAAAGACAAGGGATGATAAAGACTCAAAAAAAGCTTTTATCTAGGCTGATTAGGTAGAAAAACATTACCTTTCAGGAGTACGGAGGAGAAGAGCTCTGATTTGTACTCATTGTGGCTGTGAGTGCCTTAGGAAAGGGATCACAACCCACAGGCTGTGGGTCTGGCCAGAGTGAGCAAAGAGAATCCAGATGAAAAGTACAACCTAACCATTTATTAACAATTTTAGTGAACGTGCCTTTCACAGGGCAAGGTCCCAGATTAGAAAAACTTCCCAATGCTGAGGAGAAAAATTGACCTGGTAGTCACACATGGCACTTTGTAAAAGCTTAAAAGCTCATGAGAGAGGAGTTCTGAGGTGTATTTGAAGTGCTGAGGTCAAGAAATCATTCTCTGAGGATACTGAGAAATGCAGGGGGAGAGGTGCAAGCGAATGAAACGGAGAAGCTGAAGGATGATCGCAATTTAGGTAAGTGCCAACATGGGAAAAAGAAAGTTGCTGAAAGAAGGCTTCTTCACGTAGCTACCAAAGATGTAGCACAGCGATAGGATGCCAAGACTAGATAAATATAATCCCGTTTTGTTTACGAAAGACATCCAGTACTTCAAGCAATTAATTGAAGGAAGTTGTATGGTCCAGACTAGATCATCACAGTGCTCTCTGGCTTTAAAATCTGCAAACCTGAAGAGCTCCAAACCCTCCTCAAGAAGGGAGTGAGTCCTGAGGCTGCCAGAGATGAGAGAAAGGAGGGAAGAAAACTGGATGAAAAGGTGAGAGAAGAAAAAAATTTAGCAGGGAAAGCAGGGAAAAGGGAGACTTGAAATATCCTTTGAAAGAGTAAGTGCCTGTGAGGAAGGGGAAGGGACGCAAAGGGAGAAGGATGGGGAGGAATCTGTGTTTCAGTGCACTCCGATGCATTGCGACGTTGGGGATCAGACTCGATGTAAAGGTCTCATTCTATAGTAACAATGAAAAGTGACTTCATTAAAATAAATAGGGTTAAGTTAGCACGAAAGAAGTTCAGCCGACCAGCTCCTCAGAGCGCAGAACCAGAACTAGGAAGCCTCAAGCGTAGCCGCGCTTGACGAGCGCTCCAGGGACAGACAGCATGAATTGTTTCCGCCGGGCGGGTGCGGAACAGCGCATACCTTCTCCCTGCAGGGACACCGCTCCCACCGGAGCGCTACGGTTGCATCGGGAAGGGTCAGCCAAGACCCAAGCCAAGCCATTTCATCCAGCTGGCTGACCAGTTCGGTGACCTCTCAGGGCTGCCGAGGAGGGGCGGGGGTGATGCCCG